CTAGAAAAAAAGGTTCAATGAACAACATATTAATGAATTCAATGCAATATATATAAAACACATCTTAGTAGAACAAAAGTCCATTTTAATAATTTATAATTTATAGATCTGATAAAATTAGGTAGTCCTGAATACAACACTGAAATTTGAGTAAAAAATAAGATTTCTTAGACAAATGCCTCAAAAATTCTTCAAAATGAACAAAAAAAACTGAAAACCAGCTTAAGTATGTTTTCTAGCTATAATAAATAGTAAAATTATCAGCATTGAGTTGTTTCATGAATAGATAGAAAACCTAAAATGAAATAATTATAAAGTTTAATGTGCCTGATAACTCTAATAGTTAAGATTTTATGAGCAACGCTATTAACTATTTTAAGTAAACTAAAGAACATGGTGAAGTTTAAATTAATCAAAACCGATTAACTTCACCATCTTTTTCATTGTAAAAACTACCAACTAAAAAATTAATTTAAGGAACATGCTGGAAATCAAATGCAATCGAGATTTTGATTGCAGTTTCCATCATTACAACAATTAATACTTTAATAAATCTTTTGACATATCACGTGAGAAAGTTGAAAGAAATTAGCATTACCGATTTTAGATGGTGTCAGACCCTTCTTGGCTAACTTGAAAATGTGATCTTTGACATCATCAGACGAAGCTTTCAGCCAGGTGGCAACGCTGCGGCGGTACGGCAGGGCCGACTTGGATATACCCTTACTGTTAACACATAAAATTCACAATCAGTTCACAAAAAGCAAGGCCAGAAACCATTAACCACTGACGACACAAACGACCAGATCGATTATAAAAAACGCTGTGCATCTCGATACGTCAGTATTGTAAATCAATCACAGCCGTATCGGCGTTTGTAAAGTCTAATTTTTCATAGTTTTCATAAAAATGGAATTGTTATATTTACCCAGGTGTGTGCATCCGACCCATATTGACGTTTGGTTGTTTTACACTTTTTGAAGGATAAAAAAATTATTCCACGACGGAGATGTATGTAAAAACTCTAAAAAGAAATCCTACACACACGTTTGACAAACTCTACATAACCAAAAAGAATGGTGTTTAGTCGATTCCGTCAAGGAGATACCATCACCGAAATACGAACGCACACGCCAAGGAATATCTGTCCAAAATCATACTTTTTCTTCCAGGAGCATGTTGCTTGGAACGAAAAACGAACGCCATTCCTGTTCGAAAGTCGTGCAATAAATAGTTGGTAATATAATAATAGACCTATATTAATGTAATAACCACAAAATATAACTCCAGAGGAGTTCAAACTCTCCGTGTCGTGTCGTGCTCGTGATCCATATGTTAATATATTGGTAACCAAATGTTGGTTACGCGTTACCTATATATTATAAAAATATATACAATACTATTTTCGTCTTTCGCAACATCGCAACAAGAATTATAATTAGTAATTAATTACAACAATAGTACAATACAACAACATTATGACATCGAACATGGACATTGGCTAGTTGTGAACCCTGAACCCGCCATTTCTCTGTGTCTATATAGTGTTGCCCGTGGTAATAACTAATTATTACTATATAAGTATTAAGTATAGTCACAGAATAGATTAATATTTAATATAGCTCGGACTTCTGATCAATGAGTATTGAGTGCACTTAAAAATATCGAAAATTGTCCTTTCAAAAAGTTCATTTATGCTGAAAACTATAAGTTCTGTTGATTTCTTTTGATATTAAAAGAAAATTACTAGTCTTTTTATCGAAAAACTCAGAATTACCTTATGCTATTTTAGTAATTAGTACAATATGTGTGTGACAATACCTTTGATTAAAAATACAATCAATCATCAATGGTAATATTAGTATAAGGTCTATGGGTAATACATGAGTAGTATATTATATTTTAATTTTTTTTTCGTAATATTTCTAATTAAGTCGAAAACTTACGTAAAATGTTTTAAACTGTAATTTAACAAAAAAAACCTTGAACAATGCTAAAACGAATCGTTGTTTGCATAGTATAAATAATAAATAACATATATTATAATACAATTAAAATTTTATTTTAAATGTATTATAATTATAAATTTACAAAGGAGGCCAGAACTCCAGAAATATTTTTTTATTATTACATTTTATTAAAAGGACGCTAGTACGCTACACCCGCATGTGTTGTCTCCGTCTTACAAGTACGTAACATTGCAAAAACTGTTTAGCGCGGGAAAGAACCGACAAGGCTACGGTCATAACTAAGAAACGAAATTTTCACCACATATAAAAGGGAATTTCGACTGTGCAATGTTGTTTTTATTGTTTTGATATTAGAACTGAAAAAAAAGTTATTCGATTTTGAAAAACGCAAAAACAATGAATTTTGAAACAATAAGAACTTTTTTTCTATTTGTGATATCGAAAAATTGAAAACAACGTTGCACAGTAAATGTTCTCCTTATTATATGGTGAAAATTTCTTTTCTTACTTTCTTAGTTATAACCAAATATAATTTATAGTATTTGTTATAACTTTAGCCTTCCTGGTTCTTTCCTGCGCGAAACAGTTTTTGCAATGTCACGCACTTGTAACTTGTAAGACGGAGACAACACATGCCGGTGTAGCGTCCTCTTAAGCCAGCATAACGTACTACCTAATAATTAATATATTATTATTTATTTGATATTATATTAGTATGACATAAAATGTCTCGCAAAGTGTAGTTATTTCCTAAATTATTTCTCAAAATAGATCATCTATCTCGAGCTAAACACGATAACTATATGGTGGGACGATAACAAATATGAGTGGCGGGGAGATAAATTTTATACTGTGTACTGGCGGGGCGATATCAAACAAGTGTCAAGTACCCACTACCTAGTCCCAATTTGTATCTTGCCTATATTGGAAAGCATTATGKATAGACTATAGTCTATACTTCTATAGATTATTAGAATATCAAAATAAAATTTACATTATTTACAAATGTCACGGAATCCGAGCACGGTGAGCACTAAATTACTGTACATTATTCRTGATCTGAATTTTTAAGCTCAACCACGGTCCTCATGAAAAAACACCAAAAACATTTTATCAACATGTCTTACATTAATTATTATTAGGAATAATAGGACACAACAGAATTCTGTTGGTATAAAACTATATAATATCATTAATCATGTTAATTAGGGCCATAGGGTACTACATGGTCGATGAATGAGGGAGGGGGAGTGGCGGCGTTAGGATTTTCGAGGCCCTGATTAAAATATGCTAATTACTAGTCAAAATTATCATACTGATAATTCTAAATTGGTTTTTATGCACAAAACATATTATATATTTTCATTTTTCACAGTCTATTCACTATTAATTTCCATTTTCCACCAATGTTTATATTATTATTATAATCATAAACAGATACACAAATTTCGACTAATGCACAATCAAAATATGTATTCTGATATAATAAAATAAATTTCTAAAAAGATATTAACTAATCGATCTCTATCTATTTTTCCATCTATATTCTATACGTATTAAAGCATACGTACCTATGTAAGTTTTCGGGGGAAATATTAATTATGATATAAGAGTATTATAATTAACTATACTTTTTTCCGTGATCTTATTATTTCCTCTATTTCTAAATCTGTTCCAAAATTAATATATTGTATATCTATTTTGCCTTACTCTAAAGCCTAGTTCAGAATTCAAGCATTTTAGTATCTAAACATGTATTATAAGCCAAATTTATTGAACGATTAGTTTCATAAATAGATATAAATATAAATAAAGTTGACTTAAAACTTAACTAAAATGCTGTCATAGTCTTAACTCTAAACGACTAAACTCTGATGGATAATATTCAAGAATACTAACATAAGACACAGGCTTAAGATAAAATTAGATACATCCCACTCCTGCTTGTCTTACAACTGTATAACATAGTAAATTAACTTTAACTTAAGCAATTATGCATATTACTATTATTTTTAAAATTTAGAATAAATCTCAACAACGATTAATGTCTTGGACATCTCGGGAGTATTTTACTAACATTATTTTTGGGTAAATTTTTATCATTTTAAAATGTTCAACAAATGAACAGTTTAAAAAACTGCTTAATCAAAATATCAATAAAACCCTCGAGATACCCTAGATATTACATTTAAATTGTATAAAAGGTTTATTCACTCTAATTTTAGAATTTACAAAGTGATATAAATTATAGTGAGCATAAAATTTGTTATGTTATACACTTTTGAAACGGAAACAATGAAAGTTAGTGTTGTGCCTTCTTAAGCCTCAAGCTTAAATCAAAGTTAAGATTATGTCAATATTTTAGTTGAGAGCTAAGTAACATATGAATACTAAATGATAAATAGAACAAAATAAATTAACAAAAGTAAAATTCTCAACTAAACTACACAACTGAAAAACTTAATCATTTAACCAATTTAGTTTATTCAAATATGCTTACATACTAAAATACTGTAAATCTTAACTGGGCTTTAGAATATGGTAAAATAGATTTATAAWAGATTAATTTTGGAATGGATAAGATAATAGAGAAAAGGTCATACTAGACTTTCTACAAGATTAAATGAATTGTTTTATATAGACCATGCTCACAATCACTATAGTGTTTCTAAATTTTTAATATCGATTTCTTTTAAATCAAATTTTCAAATTTTACAGGTGAAGAACACTTTTCAATAATGTAAATTAGATATAAAAGCTCAGAATCTAATATTTATAGTACAAATCTTATAATCAATTAATTATGCTTAACTAATGTAGCAGACACTTTTTCCTTGTCAAAAATATCAATACTAAAATTAATTTTTTTATTTAAACAAACTATAAATGTATTAATAATGTATCCTATTGATGAATAAATAAATGGTCATTCAGTAAATGTAAAATTAAAAGGCTTGACGATATAGTTATTATTGTTTTAATATGATTTAAAATAAATAAGTTTTGATAAAAAATTATGATTTTAATAACTTAATGATCATAGGTATTACAAAAACTAACTAACAAATTGCCATTTTTACACAAAATCGCATCACAATTTATAACATCTTCAGGAATAACATTCTGATATTTATTTAAAAAATAAATCCTTTGTCGTGCATAAGGATACCAATTTGAGTTATAGATCTTTCTGTTTGATGTGCCAAATGAGAAACATACATCTGTATCCAAACACCAATCTACCCAACAAACAAGCCCATGACAAATACCTTTGCTGTAAACAGAATGAATTCATAACATTTAAAATAATAAATAATAAACACACAAAAGAGCGACAACAATAAAAGTAATTAGCTTGATATAAACATAATAAAGTTATAATAAATATGTTGAAAAAAATTTTTTTAATTATGTGGAGAGTAAAAAATACATAATTTAAAACATAATTAACACTAAAAACTTGAATCAAAGTTAATTTATAAAAATTTAAAAATGATTGGTGGAAAATGTATTTTATATTAGTTTGAATGCCAGATTTAGTAAAATAGTAACTTACTTTTTAATTTGTACAGTAAGTAAGTTTTTGAGAATCAAACTAGATTCATTTGCAATGTTTTCAAAATTCAAAGTAAACAAATCATAAGCATTTGAAAGGCTTTTGCTTGGGTATTCCCACAACGGCTTTTCTTCCAGTAATCCATCTGATATTTTTATGCTCTCCTAAAACAATGCATTACACAAAATACCACAATCACAAATTATATTGTTTAAAGTAGATCCATGTCAAATAAAAATACATATTAAAGATAAAACTTCCATTAACACATTCACTTCGGACAACAACAAATGTCGGCATTTAACATAGTTCATATATTTTCCTAAATGAAGGCAAATTGGAATGATTTACCTTATTATTCAATGCACTACCTTGGTCAACATTACAACTCCATTATTTTTCAGCCTAAGTCCTCTTAACATTATTGTTGTACATAAATATTTTAATTTTTCAATGTTTTTTTTAACAAAAATGTTTCACCATAGGATCAGTATATTATAAAATTAATATGATATACAGCAAATTTACGAAATGAAATAAATAATAAATAATATAAATATATTTATTTTAAATTATTAATTAGATATATATTAAGACATCATTTTTTTCTTTGACTTGTACTTAATAATGAATAAAAAATAAATTGCTTATTGGTAAGATAAGTCTACTAAATATTGGTAATGTTTATATGAATTTTAACGTAGCATACAATATCAAATTTAATGATCCATTACTTTAAATAGGTATCTAAACTATTATTTTTATTATTATAAAGATAAAGTTTGTGAGGTTGTAGGGGGTAATTTCTAGATCTACCTAACCGTATTTGAAAATTCTTATACCAATAGACAGCCACATTATTTGTGAGCATCATAGGCTATATTTATTTTTCAAAATGAAAAAAAGAATCACCTATCCGGCGCCACTGAAGCTATGAGTATAAAAATGTAGTCAGTAAGTTCATTTTATGATGCAAAAAACTCCTAAGAATGGATTTTTCAAACTTTAACCCCTACAGGGATCAAAAGGGTTATATAATATTAAGAAGAAAAAATTTTTGTTTGTTCGGTTTAATCTCTGGAAATAATAAGCCGATTTTAAAATTTTTTTCAGAAAGCTATAATATCTCATGGATCTATACTGTATAGTCTATATCAGAGGTATTCAAACTTTTTCATCCCGCAGCTCCTTTGGGAGTTCAAAATATGTTGATGGCTCTCAAATTGTTATGAAAAAATTGAAACAACACATGGATACCAATGGCCAATATTTTATATGGGTGATAAAAACAGTGACTTTAGTACTAGGAATAAAACTTCAAATGGCTGTTGTAAGATGTGTTGTTTTCATTTCCACAATAATAGCAAATAATATTTATAATAATTATGCAAGACCTAGGTATGATGTTGGTTTCTAGTGTTTTGACATGGCACCCTTTGCAAACTCTCACGACGCCCCTGAGAGTCACGACACAYTTTTTGAAAACCTCTGAGTTATATTTTATCTTGATAAGTGGCCCTTAATCTCTTTATTGAAAATTTGAGATTTTTATAATAATAATAAATATAAATATATTTTTGTTTTTTATAAGGTTGTAATTGGTTATATAATTTAGAAGATGAATAAGAAATTAGAAATTTGTTATAAGGCACCGATTTAAAATTTTTTTTTACGTTTACAAAACTAGAAATGCGAGAAAATGTTATGATTGAATATAATTTTAATCTTCTATTTTATAAGACTGTCTTAAAAGTCTTAATGGAGATTAAGATATCCACTGAACCACCRCGGAAGTTTTGAACATGACTAGTTGATTATTAAAAGACGAATTAAACACAAATTCTAAATCATATAGAGTTGATATTTTTAGTGGGCAACAAAATGCACGGAGTTCAGATAGTATATTATAAACCTAATAATAATTAAACATATAAATCTTGAAGTAATTACTAGGTAAATATAAAACAAACATTAAACTTTAAAATTTATTTTTAGCTTTTGTTTAGATAAATGATTGTTTAATATATTAATAATTTAATTTACTTTTTTAACTATATTATTTTATAATATTTTTAACACTAAAACAGTTTAATACCTGGACAATTTCATTGAATGGTATTATTTCAAACCCTTCAACTTCAGTCAAAGGAGCTCGAATTTTCCATAAATCTTCAAATTCTACAGCTTGAATTTTCACAGTAACTTCTCTAGGAAATATTTTTGTTTTTGGATTTACTTGAAGAGAATATTTCACAATATCAATCCATTCAGGTAAAATCCATTTGGATGGTTCCATAAAAACTGTACATATTTCTTTCTCATTCTAATATAAAATTAAATTCATATACATTGAAATATTTAATGTTTTAAAAACTAATTTATTTTGTTGTACATTATTGATATTAATAAAAAATATTTACCTCTTTTTGTTTTGAAATTATTTCCAATACTTCTTTGTATGTTTTCAATATAACAACTTTTTCTTCCAATTCATTAGATCTAATAAATGAATGTATAACTTTTTCAAAACCCTGAGGCCCACTAACATCATAATAATAAACCTAAATGCCACAATATTATTAGAGATTTTTGTTAAAAACGCAATATTTTACAAAATGTAAATAAATACTTTTGACGCGCCAAATAGAGCTGCTGCGAGTCCCATAAATGACAAGTTGCCAAAAAATAGACATATACTATTTGGTTGAATATATTTTTTCAATGCGGTTAAATAATTGTTTGTAAGGTAGTGATCATTAATTTGCCCAATAAGAGTCCTGCTAATGACTCGATGAAAATCACATTCACAATAAGGAAAAGGAACATCTAAATATGAACTGAAACAGAACAGAGAATTATAATCCAATTAATTTGCACAGCATAGATATAAACTATTAAAATAAATATGCATAGAATATTAGCATAAATAATGCAACTGTATAGTAATTAAAATAATGCCAACCTAGACTTATTGGTGTCAAACCAAAATGATAATTCGTCATGGTAACCAATTACATTGACTTCTTCATTTGTTTTTAAGTTCACTTCATTAGCAAAGTAATACACTCCTTGTATCCAATGGTCTCTCCAAGGTACGTTATGCTGTTGCAAATGCCATTTAGGGGCACAGCTCAACATAATATCACCATCAGTGTCCATGGCTAAATCCCACCACACAAATGCAGCATGAGCAATACCATTTTCTTTTGATTTACAATGAATAGCATTTTTACGGTCTGTTATCACACCATTTTTATCATTCCAATTGAACCTATGAATATTTTAATTTGTTAAGTATTATGGGTAATTAAAATAGTTACAGTTTATATCTATTACCTGAACATAACTTGTGCAGGGATTAATGTTTTAAAAGAATCTGTTGGTAGTTCACCGAGTTGTAAGTCAAATACACTTTCAATACCTTGGCAATTCTTTATGTTTTCAGGTGTCTTAATCAATAACTTATTATTGTGATACACATCATTAACTCTATTAAAATTTCTTATATATTTGCTTTCGATTACTTGAGCATAAACGATAGCTTCAGAAGGTATTACAATACAATCATCCTAAAACAAAAATAGTACAAAATACTAATTATTAGTTTTTGGACAAATACAATCTGTTATTAATTTATTTATTTATATTATAATTATTACTGTTAATAGTTCCTGATGAGCATGATTGAACACTGAAATAGCTCCTTCACCAATGAGCTCTGTGTCAAAAACTTCTGTGACTAATAAGTTCATACGATGAGGTAAGTCTACACCAACTTTTAACTTTTGAGAKCTCTTGTGGATAAGAACAATTTTGCTATCCAAATTATTTGACTTTATTATTTCTTTTGCACATTTATAGGAATCTTCAAATTCCTATAAGTAACCAAGAGTTTAAAAATCTGAATGTGTTATATTATCAACAAAGTGTTAAATACTTCACAGGCATAAACAGAATCGGCACCACATTTAGCAGCCATCATAGCTAGTAGACCAGTACCAGTTCCAATGTCTAGAACATGGACTTTTTTGTTAGCTTTATGCAATCTAGTGATTTCTTTTTTCAATGCTTTATAGTACAACTGATTCTGTAGGGGAAAAACATTAGAATTATATTTTAATTATTGTTATAAAACACATGGTATATTTACTCTGTCACTATCATAGAGCATATCTCCAAAAGCAGCTCGGGCAATATTTTGATGGTGATCAAATTCCATCATAGAATTCACTTCCCAATTTTCATCCATGATATTCTGAAACATATAAATAATTTATAACACTCGCCACACTGATAGTTGTCATAGTTCATAGTATGCCAGTTTTTGGTATAATTTTTTATATAATTAAATTATGGATACCAAGTAGATATTTTATTTATAAAATTCAGCCACAATAAAGCTACACAAATTTCCAAGTAATAATGATTAACAAAATATCCAATTAAATGCATGCATCAAATGAAAAGTTTACTCCAAACATTTTTTGAAAATCAAACTATAACTTAATGATTATTATTTTAAAGCATTCATTTTTTACCAACATTTAGTATACACTCAGCGTTTAAAAATGTACCATGTATAAAGTATCATTCAAAGACAATACAATTATTTTGGTATAATGGTATAAACAATATATTTTAATTATTTAACTTCTCAAAATCAATGATTATAAATTATAATATTATAAGTCATGAGAATTATGTTAACAATTAACAGGAATATATTTGGAAACTACTCGTTTAAAATATACAAAACTGTGATTTTGATTACTAAATACATTGTGAAATAATTACAGTATTGTTCAATAACTGCAAATATACATAGTTTTAAGAATAATAMCAATTATTATAGGTAGTGAACAAATTAATAATAATATGCAATAGCCCCCAAGACTAAAAAATGTCTATTACTATCTATCGATGTTTCTACATACTTTGATTTGTTTGGAATAAATTGTTGAACCCGTGGATGTCTAGCGGTTAGTTGGCCGCACGCAGTCTTACGACTGCAATTTTTTTTTTTAAATTTCAACGCGCAAAATTTAAGCACGATGTTGATGTTGAATACTTTAATATTTAATTCATTATTCATCGACTAGTTTCGCTTTTGCCGTTGCGTTGATAACAAATCGTGGTGATGGTGATAACGTAGAATAATACCGTGACTGGAGCAGTGGAGTTGACCTTGAAACAACAAACAACCGATTGTCGAGGTCAGCAGCTAGTAGCTACTGTTCTATGTAGCTACTGAACGTGTTCAATACTTATTCTTCAATATTAAAAAGTATTTTTAAATTCTATTTTCTATCTATTGTAGCATAATATTATCTTAAATTTTAAGATATTCATTATTTATATACAAGATATAAATTGATTAATTTAAATAATTTATATCTTAAAACCTGTTTGACGGTTGATACTGTTCAAAAAATAAAGGATACTTAATAATAATAAATTGATTTAAATTCAGTAAAAAGCATAATTAAAACCTTAGCTATCTTAACTCATTGCAATAACGCCATGTCACTATGTCAGGGGTATCATCAGTAAACTACCAAAAAGCCCCCC